CATTTTTTGTTTACTTTTGTTGCATTTTTTGTTTTTTTGTTGCTTTTTTGTTGCTTTTTTTCGTTTTTTGTTGTTGCTTTTTTTTATTTTGCTTTTTTTATTTGCTTTTTTTTTTTTTTATTTTTTTTTTTGCTTTTTATTTTTTTTTATTTTTTTTTTATTTTTTTTTTATATTTTGCTTTTTTATTTTGCTTTTTTTTATTTTGCTTTTTTTTATTTTGCTTTTTTTTATTTTGCTTTTTTTTATTTTGCTTTTTTTTATTTTGCTTTTTTTTATTTTGCTTTTTTTTATTTTGCTTTTTTTTTGCTTTTTTATTTTTTTTATTTTTTTTTATTTTGCTTTTTTTTTATTTTTTATGATCCCTTTTTATTTTGCTTTTTTATTTTGTTTTTTTATTTTGCTTTTTTATTTTGCTTTTTTTTATTTTGCTTTTTTTTATTTTGCTTTTTTTTATTTTGCTTTTTTTTATTTTGCTTTTTTTTATTTTGCTTTTTTTTATTTTGCTTTTTTTTATTTTGCTTTTTTTTATTTTGCTTTTTTTTATTTTGCTTTTTTTTATTTTGTTTTTTTTTTTTTTGCATTTTTTTTTTTTTGCTTTTTTATTTTGCTTTTTTTATTTTGCTTTTTTTATTTTGCTTTTTTTTTGCTTTTTTTATTTTTTTTTTTTTTGCTTTTTTTTTGCTTTTTTTTGCTTTTTTTATTTTGCTTTTTTTTATTTTGCTTTTTGTTTTTTTATTCTAGTTTAAATTTTAGATTATTTCTTAGGCTTTAGTTTCCTTTTAGTAGTTTGTTTTTTATCTCTAAAGCTAATTAGTTTCCTTGCTACCTGTCACTAACCAGGTGATACAGGTAAGCAAGAAGTATTGTTACATTAAGTTAGTGCGCTTTACAGCTAACATTATAAACACTATGAATGACATGTATGTTGTAAAATTACAAGCCAGAGAGAGAGAGTAGAGGCATACCTTGTTTTTCTATCTTTTCATTAATAGCTTTACCAATTCACTGCTAGTATTATAGTTACAGTCCAAAATTGTCACTATGACACCAAATGTATGCACTATGGCTGCTTGAATGTCATATTGTAATTATTTTCTATTCTTGTGAAGTGTAGTTTTAAAATGTTGAGAGAAAATTATTCTGGCCATGACACTCATTCTTTATGAAAACCATCTTCTCTTTTAATTGCACCTTTATTTCCTATGCAGTCAGGGTTTTTTTTTTTTTTTTCTTAATTCATGTCAAGGGATGGATGTTTAAGTTTTCCTGAAAAGCAAGACACTGATGAAATAAATACTTTAGGTTCCATTGTTTTTCATTTTAGTTGGCCTGTTTTCTGATCTTATTGGGTGACATTATTACACTATTATGGCTAAACTGTGCTCTAAGATGTACTTTTTTTTTAACCCTAGAACACTAACCATGGGTATATAGTACCCAGCACAAATTTTCCTATTTTTAATTACAATTTTCAGTACCTGATTTTCTTACCTAGATAATGTTTTTCAGTTCCTATTAATGTTAACTCAAAGTACAAAGTTTGAAGTGCCTGCTTGTAAAATATTTCAAATAAAGATTTATATTTAATATTTTTTTTGATATTTTCAAAATCGGGTAGGATATATCCATGGTTAGCAGTGGTATTACTTTAATTGATGGTTAGTGTTCAAGGGTTAACCAGAAATTTGCAAGAAGTTTTCTCTCAGAATAGTGAGCTACTAATAATCATGTCACTGTTCTTTGGTCAAGTTCTTATATCATTTAAACTATTAAATAACTACAGAATATTTGACAGCATTTTAAAAAATTTTAATGGGGGACACCTTTAATGAAAACAAAAACAAGCAGAAAGACAGTTGAAAATTAAGTCACAAATCTCACAGATGAAGAGATTTTGAGGCAACATTTCTGCAGAAAGATTCTGAGAATATCATAGATGTGAACAATCAGGAAGCTTTAAAGAAAATGGGAACAGAAAGAACACTTGTACTTAGAATCAGAAAGACACCTAAAAATTCTAGATCTCTTAATGAGGACAGAGGACTTGGAGAATTTGACACTCACAGGACTGAGGGAGGCAGCAAGTAATGTAACTAGAGTGTGATTTTGTACACGGGATAATGAAGAGACAAACATTACTTGGAACTACAAATGATAGGAAGTTGTGGAGAGCCATAATTACCTAAGCCCACAAGAGACATGACATAGGTTTCCATGACAATGTGAGTAATGAAGTTTTAAGGAGAATAGAAATTATAAGACAACATCTCTTAATTGTCAGAAAGAGATAACTGAAATTTCTGTGACGCATAATGAGGAATCAAGGCTTAGAGAATTTAACACTCACCAGATATATTGAAGGTAAGGAGGACAGAAGGAAACTGCAAGTACGCTACCTAACATGTTTGTAAATGGATGACAGAACAGAATAATAAAGAGACAAACATTGCTTAGATCTATGAAGGATAAGAAGTTGTGGAGAGCCATAATTGCCCATGTCCTAGCACATAAAAGAAGTGTATTGAAACTTTGTAGATGAAAGGGGGGTATTAATTGTGTTTTTATATAAAATATATTGATACCAAATGCAATAGCCTCGAGAGGTTATAGTTGAGAAGGGGTCTTGAAATGTAAAATCCTGTCTTTTTTAACATCGCAAATCCCCTAATCAGTAGATGTAACGTGATTTCATTCTAATTTTGAACAAAAGACCATTGTTATTATTGGTTAGTTTAGAATGAAATACCTTGAACAATACTAAATACTGTGATGTCCAGCAGTTTTAAAGGTTTCTTGGAATGCTTGATGATATAAAAGCCATTATCATCATACTTATTATAAAACCCAGGTTGTGTGTGTGTGTGTCTGTATATTTATATATTGGATCGGATTTCCTACATTTTTCAACCGATTTCAACAAAACTTCACAGGACTACATAAAATTACCTTGTGGTGGTTCTGACAGCACCAAAAATTGGAAAAACACAATTGTTTTTGCACAAAATCAATTTGAAAACACGATTAAGAGGCATCGCTGTCAAGAATGAAAGGGGGACAACTCATGTTGAGTTATACTTATTATAAAAACCCAGGTTGTGTGTGTGTCTGTGTTCGTTTATATATGGGATCGGATTTCCTACATTTTTCAACTGATTTCAACAAAACTTCACTTTTTGGGGGCAGGTAGTGTTTCTTATTGTCTTGCATACTTTTTTCTTTATTTTTACATTCAGAATGCTTTAAAAATTCCATTTACAAGACAATTGTTTATAATAAAATTTTATTCAATCGGTAGACTCATAACGATTGAAAACAATGTTTTTGTTTGAGTTTGACCAATTCGTAAAGAAAAAAAAAAAAAAAACCTAATTAAGACATGCATGTCCGTGAACCTTAAACAATAATCTTTGTCAATTTTATTTTTCAGTCTTTATGATGGTCGATACTTGATCTATCTCTTACTGTTACATGTCCGGTCAACACCAGGCTCTACTGCTAGTCAGTATTGTCTTTAGATGTAATCTTAAGACCAATTGCTTTTATCAGCAACAATCTGTGGGCTTGATGAGATTTATAGTTTAAAATGCAGACTAGTTGAACATGATGATTGTCTAAAATAAAGAGATTAACATATTTTCTCTTGTGGTTTGTTTTAGCCAATTCTGTTTAGATTAAGAATTTTTCAAAGAAAATTTGAAGTTTTAGAATGTAAACTGTCACTTCCCTTTTAGTTATTACAAAAGGTACATAAAATGTTTTTTCTTTATTTTATTTGTGAGAAATTCTTGTTGTTTGCAGTTATAATTAAACTTTAATCAATGAAGGATCTGAGAGTAGGAGTTTTTAATTATTTTATTTTTTTTTCTTTCATGGGTTATTTAAAGCTGAAATTTTCTGGATTATAGGAAGTTGCTTACAGTATCTGATGTTCTCAAGTGGTTCCTCATTTATGTATTGGCTGAACTCAACACTGTTTAATGTTGGAACTTTATTCTATTGTACCAAGATGTTATAAATTTAAGTGCATTATTAGATTGGTTGCAAGGTCTCATAATTTTACAGTTGAAATGATGAGATATCACTGGAAATTCTATGCTAAGAGTTTCTTTGCTTGTAGAACACTCTTCAGGCTTCTTGTTTTCCCACTTTGGTCTTCAAAAATTTAAATGCTACGTCAGTTGTTATCTACCATCTTAATTCTTGTTCTTTTATTGTTCGTTTTCCTTCATAATGTATTTTTTTTTCTTATATTCTCTAACACCCAATAACCCCTTGCATTTTGGTTGCTTTATTGCTTTGCTTAGAGTGAAATGATTAAAAAAAACTTTATATATATATATATGAATGAAGAAATATAGTTTTATGGTGTGCTATATTTATGGGATAAAGTGTTTAGTATCAGAGATAGAGCATATGTAAATATAAAAGTAAGCATTGAAGTCAACACTCAGTGACAAGCTGTTTCATGCTAGATGCAGTTGTCAGGCTCCGAGTCTGACAATTGTGTCTAGCATGAAACAGCCTGTCACCTCTGTGTGTTAACTTCAATGCTCACTATGTATGTTTGTGTGTATATATGTCTCTCTCTCTCTCTCCCCCATACATACATACATATATATATATGTGTGTGTGTGTCTCTCTATATATATATATATATATATATATGTGTGTGTGTGTCTCTCTCTCATATATATATATATATGTGTGTGTCTCTCTCATATATATATATATATATATATGTGTGTGTGTCTCTCTCTCATATATATATATATATATGTGTGTGTGTCTCTCTCTATATATATATATATATATATATATATATATATCTCTCTCTATATATATATATATATATATATATATATATATATATATATATATATATATATATATATATATATATATATATATAAATGTGTGTGTGCATGAAGATGATAGAGCTTTTGAAAGTTAATTGAAGATAATGAACCCAACTAGAATTGGAACTTTGAGTCATTATCCATTACAGCACCTATTATTCCCAACTAGTCACCCATCTTCATACTGGCTAGGCTTGATATTGCTTAACTTTGATGATCAGATGTGAACTGGGTGTTTCAACGTGATATGGCCATAAACTTCATATTTCTGAAAATAACTAATGATCCTAGTAGGAAATTAGTAGACGATAACCTTTTTATTACTTTTATTTTTTTTTTACAATGTACATGTTTATCTTGATTGTGTTTATTTACAGACATCTTTTTATGAACTTTGTATTTCAAAATAATTTTATTGTTTCTCTTAAACCTCAATGCTTTTCCGGAAAAAAAAAATACAACTTCCAACCAATTCAAGCCTGTATATTGTTAAGTGCAATAAGAAGGGCTAATCAGTAAATGGCAGTGGACAAGTGTTTAAGATTTTTTAGATTATCTGAAGAGGTATCAATACCAAAACCAGTAGTTTTCTGCTTTCTGTTGTTATTGTTACTTAAAATATTGCCAAGTTGAAAACTTTGATAGTTCTACTTGCGAAAGTCATTTTGAATCTAGTTTTTATTGTTGGTAAAAACTTTTACAATTTTTAAAAAAAACTTTGGCTTTTTAATTTTGACATCTGTAAGCAAGTGTCACTTTTGTGATGTAGAATGATATTAAAACAATATCTTATTACAATGTGTATTTTTTTAGAAGCTATTTCTATAGGTTTCTACAAAAAAGAAAAAAAAAATCATGCATTCTAAAATTCTTATCAATATGAAATTTTCATAACATTGCTCTGTGTTGCCAAAAAGTCCTTGTTTTTGGTATAAGGAGTGTGTCAAAACTTGTAAAATATTAACTCAAATCCAATAGAGATTATATAGGAACATGTCGATCACATTTTTATTTTGAACAGGGGTCTACTTAATTGAAGATATCTCAAACCCAGTTGATTTTGGGACCCTATTTCCAAACAGATTATTAATTCTTTAATAAATTTTCTTTCCAATGGCGTACAATATGTCTATTCCTATTTTTGAAAATTTCCCTTGTAAGGGTATTTCAACGTGCCCAATTTTCTGTCATTTTGAAAATCAAGATTTTCTGAATTCCTAGGTTCCTATTAGAATGTGTAATATAAAACTTTCTCTCATGAGACTTTAAACCCTGGCCAGGACTATATCTCATTCTTGTTTGATGGCAAAGGGGGTGTTTCTAAAATTGGTGATGAAATAAAGTAGATGATAGTAAGTGTGGTTAAATGGGAACAAGGAATTTTAAGCCACAATGTCTCACCTGTCCGGTTGTAGATGTCATTTGCAATTTAGGTAAAGCACATGCATGGTTCTAGTGCTTTTAAAACTCTTAATTTGCACGTGTGGTCAAAAACCTAAATAAAAGATGAGCCACACAAATGAGTAGGAAGGGAATTGACATATCTTGACCTGTGCTGAATTGGGTTTATTGCAACTTTTAACTGCAGGAAGGTGGCAGTCATGCTGTTATTGTTTTTGTGAGCTGGTGTGTGGGTATGATAATTAATTTCCACCATGATTTTGCTTTATCCCCACCCCTCAGGAGTATGTGGCTCACCCTATATGATGTCAGAATAGATGTTGCATTCAGTCTTCTTCATAGAAGATGGGTACAGGATTTACCTGAGATACTACTTCTACCCAAAGTAAGTAGGCCTGTGATTCGCCGAATGTCAATGACTGACTGATTGATCATGTGATTGACCTAGTTGTGCCTATGGTGTGGGCCTGTTGGGATGGAAAATGACAGAATAGATATTTAAACACACCCCTGCAGAGGAAAGGATAATATATCCACACAAGATTGTAGAGTCCACATTCAGAGAACACCCAAGGACCACACATGTACCCAAGTATTTCTTGATTTATCCTGGTAGAAGATTGCTGGCAAAGTAGAAATGTTATTTATTTGTTTACCTTAGATGTTTGAATCAAAAAGGGTTCATTTGTATGTGTTTACTGTAGCATGACAAACAGAGGAGAAATAAAAAATAGAAAACAAAACCAGAAACATACAAGGTCATATTTATTCATTTTATTGACCTACAAGTTTAACAATGATGTCAAAAGTAACAGAATGTGTGAAGTTGATATTCTAAAGCTTTTCTTGTCATAAGGTTTTCACATGTGAGTCATTTTTGATTGTTATATAATCATTTGAGAGGGATGAGATTATTACATAATGATAGAAAACTTCTCCCTTACTTATGTCAAATAGAATCTTTTTACTAATGCTAGTTTTACAATTAATATATTAATGTCTAGTAACAAGTACAATTTAAATATCTGAGAAGTGTTTTAACAGGGGGACAGAAAGTGTGACACTGAAATCTGAAGGTGTATTGAGATAACCAAGGAAGCATTTCAAAAACTAAGCAGAATAAACTAATTAAGAAATTGGAAAACTTAGCTAGAACCAAGAGAGTACTAAACTGCTATGTGATACCTGTCTTCCTGTATGGCAGTGAGTGCTGGACAATCTCCTCAAAGATGAAGAAGAGACCTGAAGCAACAGAAATATTGGGATATCAAAAGATGCCTTTCAAAAGTTAAACAAAGTAATAAGAAACAGGAAAATTTTGTTAGAAATAAAGAAAAGAATACTCAACGGATGCTTATATTTGTCCTCATAATGCTGGACAATCTTCATGCAGGTGAAGCAACAGAAATGTTCTTCTACAGAAGGATGCTGAGAATATCATGGACCAAAAATGGAAACAAAAGGGATATTTATAATTAACATCAGGAAGATGCAAATGAAATTTCTAATGTAAGTCCCTTTTCTGCCGCATTGGTCTTCAGGTTCTTTCAGACCACAATGGTTACCATCTAGCTGACTCCTCACTTGTTAGTGCATTGCTGGTTTGTCGCTGGCATCATGATGATGAGTACAGTTCCAGTTGATCTAACTGGCATTTGTCTTTTTCACATCTCTGCAACGTTGTGTTTTTGATCTCAGAGGGTGAAAAGATCACTGAAGTAAATTGAAGTGAAGAACAGGTCAATGGCTGGGAACTACACAAGAGAATTCATTAGAATAAAGGATTAACTCTGGTTGAAAATGCAGCAATAATTTGATTTATATATGATTCATTGTATATAGCGGTTTTAACCCTTCCCACTTACTGTTATAATCAAATGGTATTGGGATCTCCTTTTGCAGTTTACAGCCTGTGTTAGTAGTAATTTAAATTTTTACGTTCTGGTCTACAGGTAAATGATGCGGATTACAGTAGCAGTAATGAGGGACCCTTCAAGCTGTCCAAATCTCCAGCTTATGGAGACCCGTGTCCAGGAGGTGTGGGGTTGATCTGGGTTCTTCGGTTTGGTTATCTTCAACCTTTAGCATCAACCTTTTTCTGACATATTTTCAAAATATGTTGAGTAATTTTCCAAATTTAGGGGTTGTCCATCTCCCTTTGAGAGTGGTCAGAGGAATGAAGCTGCCCCTTAACTCCAACTTCCTTCACATCTCATCTCACACCATTGCTCCATATAGATGGTGCTAATCACTTTCTCAGCATCCAACCTCAACCCACTCCAAAGGCTGTTACACTGTCTTTGTAATGAATGTAAACTTTTTGAAATGTGTAGGTTAAATGGGGATTTCCAGTTATTACTCTTTCTTTATCAGTTAGTCTCATGCTGATTGTTTTAGGTCATTTCTTGATCAACCAGGCCACACAGCCGGTCACCTATGATCACCCCAGGCTTAGTTAATAATTTTTCTTTATCACTTGTATCCAAAAGAATTCCAAATATTGTTGGTGTTATATACCATAGCTATGAACACCAATAGGTATATCCCAAACCTCATAAATACATTGTACTCTATTGTAAGTGGTGGTAATATACTGTCTAAGTAGTTCACCAATAGTAGTGGTATATCTACTTCATGCAGCTGGTGAGTATTGTATTTTTTTATAATGGTTAACATTTTATTTCCAATCTCCGTGTTGGTTATTCCTCATTCGGTAACCCTTTCTAGGTTACAACATTTGGCCATAAAGTTTTTGATGAATACCACAGAAATTAAAATAAACACACCCATCCCCAATCTTAGGCACTAATCTCTATTTTTGTGGCGATATTTTTCTTCTGGTTAGCTGATTCAAACCAGATGTTTATCCTGGCTCTTTGTCCAGAACAATTTTAGATGTCATTTTGGTGACCACACATTTTCTTTGACTGCATATGTTTTTCTATTTTCCAGGGCCAATATCTTTGATGATACATTGTCTCTTTCTTATTAGTGGGATGTGGGGAAGGACTGGTAGTCTTGGTTCTGCTCAACCTTACTGAATTTTGTCTAGTTATATTTGGGTTTGATTCGCCTTGGAACTGTTTGGGATTTCATTTTATTATTTTGAAACATAATTTTTCAAAACATTTCGTTTTTAATTTTCTTAACTTTTCAATCTGCTTTCTTGCAATTTTCAACAATTATTATTCAACTAGCAGTAGAGCCAGGCATTGCCCGGGGATGTAATAGTAAGAGATAGATCAAGTATTGACCATCATAAAGACTGAAAAATAAAATTGACAAAGATTATTGTTTAAGGTTCACGGACATGCATGTCTTAATTAGGTTTTTTTTTTTTTTGTTTTTTTTTGCTTTTTTTTATGAATTGGTCAAACCCAAACTCAAACAAAAACATTGTTTTCAATCATTATGAGTCTATCGATTGAATAGAATATTATTATAAACAATTGTCTTGTAAATGGAATTTTTAAAGCAATCTGAATGTAGAAATAAAGAAAAAAGTATGCAAGACAATAAGAAACACTACCTGCCCAAAAAAAAAGTGAAGTTTTGTTGAAATCGGTTGAAAAATGTAGGAAATTCGATTCCATATATAAATGAACACACACTCACACAAATAACCTAGGTTTTATAATAAGTATAACTCAATATGAGTTGTCCCCCTTTCATTCCGGCAACAGAATCGTGTTTTATCGTGTTTTCAAATTGATTTCGTGCAAAAACAATTTTTTTCCAATTTTTGGCGCTGTCAGAACCACCACAATGTAATTTTACGTAGTCCTGTGAAGTTTTGTTGAAATCGGTTGAAAAATGTAGGAAATCCGATCCAATATATAAATGTACAGACACACACACACACACGCGTGCACACACACACACACACAACCTGGGTTTTATAATAAGTAAGATTAGTAATCTCTTTCCTCTTACTTTTTCTTTCTTTCCTCATTTTTTTTCTTTAGCTACCTCACACTAGAGCATATAGTGAGGGCTTAGAAAATTTTGTACTCACAGGACTGTTTGAAGGCAAGAGTGACAGGAAAACAAAGCATAATTTACCTAGTGAGTTTGTGTAAATGGATAGCAAAACTGGGTTTAGAAGTAACAAAAAGGCTAAATTTATTAAAAGCTACAAAGAACAGGAATAATCGCCAATGTCTTAAAGGGACACAACACATCAAAGAATTTCCTAATTATTATATTAATGTGTAGTAATCAATTTAATCACAATAGAAATCAATATTCTGATTTACATTCCATTAGAATCTTGTGTTACTACAAGTTTTAGATTATCAAAAATAATTTCTTAAATCCTTATTATTCACTTTTATCTCTCTCTCTCTCTTTGGTTATACAGATACACACGCACAGACACCTTTTTGTTAATTTTAATAGCATGTGTTCTTAAATATTTTATAATTATTATTTTTGTTTGCTTTTTTTTTTTTTTGTGAAGTCAAATTTCAATTCCCAGCTATAGAAACAATTGTTCAATCATTGTCCTAACAAAGACACTACCAGTTGGCTCAAGGAAGGCAACTCTAGTACAGTAAAAGTTAGAAAAATATACATAGTAGCATATTTACTAAATATATACATACATACACATACTTTTTTGTATAGATATATAATGGACATAGGAACTAACACTGTACACACTTGTCAGTTTCATTCCTGAAATGTGTCATGATTCCTTTTGCATGTTCTATATATAGGTCTGGTTAACTAAGTGGGGGAAAGCTTTAGGTTATGGTCATGACCTTTAGTTTGCTTATATTTTTTTTTTTATTTTAAATTTATTTTATTTATACATTATTTATATCTTGTTTTTTAATAAGAGTAGTCACATTGAAGATGTGGTGTGAAACTGTCACCATGCATTTTGGATTGTTGTCTATACACTATTTCCAATATTAAGCTCTTTTCCACCATAAATATAACAAATTTTAAACAATATATATATTGTCAACACATTACATTGCATCTAGACATATGGTTCTGTTGTTAATATTTCGGTCTTGCACTTAGTACGACGTCATAGAACTGCATCATGAATTTACGACCTGCCTCTGCTATTCCACGACCGTTATCGTCGCATAGCAATCTTCTCTGTCAACATAACAAAATATCATCTTTGGTGGTGAATATATTTGTTTAAATGTCCGCATAACCACTCTGAAGATGGCCCATATGAGTCGAAAGCTTAAATCAAGGAACAGCATAATAAAAGGATATCCAAATGTTGGACAGTTTTTGTCTTTAATTTCACACGAAATTAAAGCATTCGTATGAAGTTTAGAACAGTTCATGATCAGGCATAATAGACATTTATTTTTGTTATATTTAACAATAATATATATATATATATATATATATATATATATATATATATATATATAATATTATATTAAGAAATTTTTTATAGATACAAATTTATTTATTAAAGACATTTTTATGTTTAACGTTCTTTTATAGATACAAAAAGAAGTAAACATAGCAAAATGTCTTTTATAAATAAATTGTCGGACTTTGTCCATTTCTTAATATATGATGTCATTTGTTTACATTTGATACGCCAGAGCAGTTATGAATGTACGAGATTCATGGAAGATTGAAGTTTATAAGCAGTAAATTGACCTTGCCTACGAGCGCTCCTTTGTGGCGAGTCGGTTAAGGCACATCAGCGTAAATGATGGTTCATTATAGGATGCAGGTTCGAATCCTGTCAAAGGACGAATATTTTCTATGAAAATTTCTCGGACATTCAGGCCGGTAAATGTTATTTAATACTGTTTATTAAAAACAGAGCATTTACTTAAATACTTGTATCTATAAAAAGAACGTTTAAACATAAAATAAATATATATATATATATATATATATATATATATATATATATATGAAAGTTTGGTGTTACTGAAAACTTCTTAGCCCTATTAAGAAACAATTCTGCTGTTTAATAACTTAGTCACTTTCTGCAAATTAGGGCATGTCAAGAAATTTCAGCGCTTTTTTCATGTCTGTATCTTACATAGGATGGTTTTTGAGGGGGTGGATTATTTCTATAAATTAGATGTTTAGAATTTTTGTGTAATGATAAATCTTATGTATGTCTTATTTATAAACGTGAATATCTTCGCATATGTAAAAATATGATTAACTTTACAAAAATTATTTCTTCTTTGTACAAATTGTTTTATAGAAACTTAACCCTTTGAGCCCTGACCACTGCTTTACCAGTGGTAGAGAAAAATGATGTAATGCCCAGTCACCGGTTGAACAGTGATGATTCAGGAATATGAGATTCACCCTGGCAAGGAGGTTCTCAACTAGCATCCAGTTGGCAGACAAAAATAAAGTGGGTTGTAGATTAATATATTTCCCAGAGATTCACGGTGTACTGATAGATATTTATTGAGTACAGTATCCATACCGGAATCAGCAGCCAATCAGGACTCATAGAATAGTCTTGCCTGGATATCAGAATGGAATCTCCCAGATTGCTGTATGAACCACTTACCAACTTGACCAGCAGAATGGAGTCACTTCCATTACAGTTGAGTACTGTCTGTTGCTATTACCAAATTCTACACTTGCTCAATAAGACACCACCTCCATTACAGCCGAGTATTATCGTTTGCCACTACCAAACTCTACAAACAATGGTAGAGAAAAATGACATAATGCTCAGCTACCGATTGAATGGTGGGTAAACACTTGTAACTATTTTTATATCTACTGTGAAACATTACATACCAATTATTTGTGAATTGCAGAGCTCAAAGGGTTAAGTAACATAAAACAAACATTTATCAACAATAATTTCCCAAACCACATTATTCATGAAGAAATAAGTTTGGCTTTAAAGAAAATTAGGAAAAAATATTACAAGCAACCAACTTGATATAAACAAAGATAAAAACGCCATTAAATTATTTTATTATAACCAGATTCATTATAATTATAAACAACATGAAATTGATATTAAAAATATAATTGTGATGTGTGTTCTGTTAGTCCTCTTAACTATTAGTAGATTTAGAAATACACTGCAACATAACCAATCATGCTATTACTTATCCACAGTTGTCTTTTTAAATCATTTCACCCCAAGTAAGACAATAAAGCCAGTAAGGTACTTGGGGGTTATTGAGTGTGAAAGAATATGAGGAAAAAATGCTATTAAGGAAAGAGAACAATAAAAGAATACGAATGATATTGCATTTAAATTTTTGAAGATAAAAATATCCTGGGAAAGAAAGAAGCTGGAAGTTCCACAGGTGAGAAGTGCAAGAGAAGAAACTATAAGCATAGAACTGTTCTAGTTTGTAAAAACGCTTCATTCCATTGGTGAAGTTGAATTAAAAAGAAGAAAAACTTGTAATTCCAATGGATAATTTATTGTTAAAATATATATTTTGAAAAGATTTTGCAATCTTTGATCACTCCTGAGAAATAAATGAAACAGTGTCTAAGCTTCATTGTATACGATATAAATTGAAATTAACAACAAAAAAAAAAAATTTGATCAAATTGAATTAGGAGTGATCAAGGATTACAAAAGCTTTCCAAAATATATGTTTTAACAATAAATTATCCGTTGGAATTACAATTTTTTCTTCTTTTTAACAACAAAGTCTGTATTAAATTTCTTAATGCTTTTCAAAAAGCTTTGTGTTTGTTTTTATTGCTAAAAATTATCACATTAACATTATCATTTTTTCTGTCAGTTTGAATTTTTATTTTATTTATTTATTTATTTATTTTTTTTTTTTTTTTTTTTGAGTGACTGAATGGAGAATTTTGTTTCTTGGTTTGAAATTTGCACAGGGATAAATTGAGGTTTGTTCAAAAGGAAAATCCTAGCTGGGTGTCAAATGACTTTCTTTTTTTTTCTTTTTCCTTTTCACTATTGAGTATTAAAAAAAAGAAAAAAAAAAGAAATTGACCACTAAAACACTGACTATTTTTTTTTTTCTTTTGCCAGATATTTTTGCTGCTTTCTATTCTGCTCGTTCTGCTGTCATACATTGGAATCAGATTTTTCAGGAAGAAGGCTGACACAGATGAATGCTACACAGGTAAGCAACTCCCTGCTTGCCATTTTACATTTCATTGACTATTAACACCATTCAATTCTGCTTTCAGTTTATTATACACATGCTTTATAATTCTAGTGTTTAGAGTGGCAGTGATTTTTATATATATATATGTATATGTGCCCCAGATTCTTTCCAATATCTCCTTTTCTGAAGGAACTACTCCTTTCCCAAGCCAAGATATGTTATCATAAAAATACAAAAAAAAAATTAAGATAACAGTTAAATCCATAAACTCATGTTATTCAATACATATAACACATAATTCAATCCCAATACAAAATAATTTAAAGACATATAGAGGCATATAAAACCCCCAAAAACCTCCTACTCATTTTTGTTTATTAGAACTATATCACCCCACATCCATGAACTTGACTGACTTTTCCACCAACCTGATGAATATTTATGAGGATCCCTATACCCAAAATGTTGAAAAAACCAATAACATTCTTGCTCTTGTATATAAATACCTGTCACAAAACAAAATCCCTACATTTGCCTTGATAAAGTTTTCGGAGGATGGAACAGGTATGTTAAGATAAGTTTCCTTTCCTGTCTTTTCTTTTCTTTTCTGTCTTTTCTTTTCTGTCTTTTCTTTTCTGTCTTTTCTTTTCTTTTCTGTCTTTTCTTTTCTTTTCTTTTCTGTCTTTTCTTTTCTTTCCTGTCTTTTCTTTCCTGTCTTTTCTTTTCTGTCTTTTCTTTTCTGTCTTTTCTTTTCTGTCTTTTCTTTTCTGTCTTTTCTTTTCCTTTCCTTTTCCTTAAGAAAACTCTAAGCACTAGAATTATAAAGCATTTTCTTTTCTTTCTTTTCTGTCTTGTCTTTTCTTTCTTGTCTTTCTTTTCTTTCCTGTCTTTTCTTTCTTTTTCTTTTTTCTTTTTTTTTCTTTTTATATTTATATTTTATATATATATATATATATATATACACACACACACACACAAACAGAGCCACTTGAGATAGGGGGTTACAAAGTTAGAGGTATAGTTTGGGGATATGTAGAAAACAATGTTTAACCCTGGAGTTGAACAGGTTAAGATTGTAGTGATCGGGGAAAGCATCATCTTGGGAGTTCCAGAACATAGAGGTAAGTGGGGAGAAGCTGCTTGAGTAGTTTAATCTCACCAATGGAATATGGAGGAAGTGAGGGTGGTTTGTGGTGTTGTGGGTCTTGGACTTGAAGATTAGAACTGGTGGATGTATCATATATATATATATATATATATATATATATAAATTACAGCAAATGAACATTATTTATAAGTACAAAATTTATGAGCTGAAACTCCTCTTAAGGAACTGTGTTCATGATCAAACCAAATTCATAAATAATTAATTGTTCTTTTTGTATAATTAGAGAATGTCTATAATTTTTACCACAATTATTACATTCTAGTTGGTTTACATATTTTGATAATTTTTATATTGTTTGTAAATTTTTGAATAAAAAAATTTCTTTTCAAATTTCTTTCTTTACAAAATGATAAATAAGTCTTTATAACATAGTCAAATAATAAATATTGTGTTTGCTTCATATATTTTATAATCTTCTAAATACACTTTTGACATTTTTGTAATGTTTATGCAGTAATAGCAGTGTCAAAGGAATAACTCATTAAATCATTTGTTGCCTCAAATTTACCACCAGAGTGGATATGTTGGCATACAGTAAAATTACTGTTTTACTTTGCTCAGAGAAATGTATCTAGGTTGGAGTAATTCACAAAGTATTCTCTTTGAAGCCCATCAAATCGAGGCAATACTTATAACCCAGGCTGGGCAGCCATGAAACTAGAGTCAATGACTGAGGCTGGACATGTAGAGACCTAGATTACAGTTTAGTCCATTTAAAAAGAAATCTATACTTTTTACCCTTTGTAGAGTAATTAGCAGAAATGCTGAACAGACAGAATTGACTGTTTGCAATAAACAGCAACAAGAGAAAGAAAAGAAATATTGAGAAAACAATATATGCAAAGCAACAATAATAAGGCAAAGAGTTTACAAACAAGAAATGGTGTTGACCTGCAAAAGGGCTATTTGTTCAACAATAAATATTTTTTTATAAATACAACAAATACAAAATATATGATGGCAAAGTTAAAACCCTTTAGAGTTCTTTGGTGTGTGATTCTGAAAGAATTTAAGTTGCTGAACTGTATGTACGAAAATGAGGTGGTGTAGTTAAGTATATTTGTTGTTATAGGAAAATGAAACAGTTTTTTTGTTCTTTTTTTTTGTATTAAATAGAAAAAAGCGTATTGTTCTTGACTCACTGATTTTTACAGAGTTGTCGCTCTCTTACTGGAGATGCTTGTTGTAGAATAGAATATTTTGTGGAAGTGAGCGTTCTTTTTGCAAAGCTAGATTTATGTTAATTTTAGTAATTAATGTTAAGCCTGGAATTGGTCGACAAGGTTTCGTTGTTGTCGTGTTGAAGAATTTGGTTTGTCTCCTTTGTTGTTGAGTCGATCTCCAATGAAGTCAAGTGGAAGTTGAGTTTTTAAGGGCCCACTGACCAAGTCGCGTCGAAGTTTCGTTTTTATTAGTTCTCTTGGTTATATGGTAGATCGGGAACATGTTTATATTTTGTGGCGTCAACTTGAGGTCAAAATTTGGGTCGGTACATTTGGGCGTAGTTGACGACACCTGATTGATATTTTTCAACCAATTAGAATGCATCAGTTGTTATACTTGGCTGGGAGCCTCTGTGTTTAACTTGCACAAATTTTGGATTTAAAACAATGTAGGAATCTAATTCTATACTATAGACAAGTGATAAAGGCAAGAAAGAAGTGAACTATCTTATTGGCTTGGAAAAAAATCCCAGCATGCATCTGTGTTTTGTCTATAAATTTTGGGAGGAGGGATGTTTTTGCAGTCATTCCTAATATGGATTAGAACCAACACCGTTGGGTTAAATTAAATTTATTATTTAAGACATTAAAGTAAGTATAAAGATAATTCATCTTATTTTATTTGCACTTATAAGTATCACATTGCATTGAATACAAAGATCTTTCACTTTATAGATTTTGTTTAAGGTTGACATATTGGAAGCCATCCTTTTCCAAAAAGTAACTTGTTTAAAAACACTAACTAGTGTTTTTTTTTTTTTTTTTTTTGTTATGAATCCATTTTTCTAACTTGTTAATTTTTTCTAAGTTTTGTAAATGCTTATAGTTGTTAGTACTGAATCTTTTTTCAATAGATCTTTCTATTTTTCACTTCAGACATCTTCTAAAAAGTTCCTTTATTTTTCAGCTGAAGATCTCTTTTATTAAACCTTGTTAACCTTTACAGAACATGCTTGCACCTACTGTGTCTTTACCATAATCTTCATTAGTCTTTTCCTGGGTTTCTACTGCACTTCTCCCAAATCAAACATGAATAAAGTTTTGAACATGTGTTTTACATTGTTATGAATTTACCCAAGTAATGTAAAATTGTCACTTTCTTGCAAAATTCTTAGAGTATGTATGCACAACCAATAAATAGCTGAGTAAACTTTAGATACTATAGATAGTTCAAGAGATAACACCTTTTATGTCAATGTAATAGTTTTTCCATGGTCTATTTTTTTCTCCCCAATGTCTCCTGGAGGGTGAGGCATTGTGAAATGTTTTACTTTTTTCTTTTCTTTTTTTTTTTTTTTTTTTTTTCTTTTCTTTTCTTTTTTTTTTTTTTTTTTTTTTTTTTTTTTTTTTTTTTTTCTTTTTTTTTCTTTTTTTCCTTTTTTTTTTATTTTTCCTTTTCTTTTCTTTTTTTCCTTCTTTTTCTTATTTTTCCTTCTTTTTTCTTTTTTTTTCCTTCTTTTTTTTTTTTTTTTTCTTCTTTTTCTTTTTTTTTTTTTTTTTTTCTTCTTTTTTCTTCTTTTTTTTCTTTTTTTCTTTTTTTTCCTTCTTTTTTTATTTTTTTTTCTTTTTTTTTCTTTTTTTTTTTTTTTTTTTTTTTTTTTTTTCTTCTTTTTTTTTCCTTTTTTTTTCTTTTTTTTTTTTTTTTTTTTTTTTTTTTCTTTTTTTTTTTTTCTTTTTTTTTTTTTTCTTTTTTTTTTTTTTTTTTTCTTCTTTTCTTTTTTTTTTTTCTTTCTTTTTTTTTTTTTTTTTTTTCTTTTCTTTTTCTTTTTTTTTTCTTCTTTTTCTTTTTTTTCTCTTCTTTTTCTCTTCTTTTTCTTTTCTTCTTTTTCTTTTCTTCTTTTTCTTTTCTTCTTTTTTTTTTTCTTCTTTTTTCTTTTCTTTTTTTCTTTTTCTTTTTTTTCTTTTTCTTTTTTTCTTTTCTTCTTTTTTCTTTTCTTCTTTTTTCTTTTCTTCTTTTTTTTTTCTTTTTTTTTTCTTTTTTCTTTTTCTTTTTTTTTCTTCTTTTTTCTTTTCTTCTTTTTCTTTTCTTCTTTTTCTTTTCTTCTTTTTCTTTTCTTCTTTTTTCTTTTCTTCTTTTTTCTTTTCTTCTTTTTTCTTTTCTTCTTTTTTTTGAGAGATTTCAGTTAGTTTCTATTTACTTGTCTCTTGAGCAATCTTTGGCACAATGCCCAACAAGCTTACTGGTTATTTTATAACACTCAAGCCAAACTTCTAAAAATAAAAAAATAAAAACAATAAAGAGAATGTTTTGGTGTACAAGGTATGCTTCTAACCTAGAGCTCCAGTGTTTGACATCTGAGGGATATTTTACAGGGTGGAACAGAAACAGTATATGTATGGCTGCAATGGACAGAAACAGTTTGAAACAAAGTGCATTTCTGGGTTCTGAAGCAAAGATTTTGAAGGCATAATTCTTACATGGGGGCAGAGTGGCAAGATGAGAATTGAAGCTAATAAAATTCTGGTTTCAATGACATGATTCAAAATAAAAAATATAATACATGGAATCTCTTCTGAAATTGGTAACCTTGACTTTGATTAACTTCTTTCAGGGACAGCAGAAATTAGTGAGAAAACATATTCTCCTAGAAAAAGGATTTCTTTGTAGAAATAATGTATAATACAGTGTTATTCCTTGGAATTTCAACAGGTTGTCATCTTTTTAGAGAAGAATGAAAAACCTCAGTTTTCACTTGGTGAAAATTTCTCTTTGCCTTTTGTTACATTGCTAGATTTTTAAATATCTCAAACAGAAACCTTATGTGTAAGGTATATTTCATCAGGTTTTCAGTTTTGGTTTAGTAACCTACTCTTCAATTTCTGGTACTACTTCAGTTTATAGGTTTGACTATTACCCTGTTCATAGTCTTATCCAGTCTTTTGAATATGAGGAGAGGTTTATACCTTGTCTCTGGTTTAGGATTGGGTTTCAAGTTCCTTCTCAAGCAGTGGTTCTTAACCTTTTTTGAATCATGAACCCCTTTAAGAATCCAAAGAAAGCTATGGACCTTCCTCCCCAGAAATATACATATCAACACAACTTTGCACCCAATATGTATAAGGGGTTTTATTTATTGAGATCCTATTATATCATACATATGACATACACAAAGCATCAGTAAACTTTTAAACAATCTAAAAAAAAAAACATTACAATCATGACATATAATCCTCTTCTGAACATTAAAACAAATCTGTTACTACATCTCTCTCATTATCTCCTTTATTTCAATGAGAATGTTGTCATTTGCCTTGAATAAGAATATGAAACTGTAGAGTGGTCTTTGACAAGGTGACAAGCATATCATCTTTGACATTCAATCTATTTCCACTTCTTTTTTGATAGAAACAAGTGCTGAAAACCCTGATTCACAAAGGTATGTGGTAGCAAAGGGATTCAGAGCACTCATAGTTTGCTTTACCAGCCGCAGGTAGACTTGGATCAATGCACATCAGAATTCTCAAATTTAATTAATTTTGTAAATTTCCTTTGTCCTCAGGTCAGTAAGGCCATCTTTGGCAAGGTCTTCATTATTGATACAATTTCAACTTTAAAGTCACCCAAGCCAAAGTAACCTTTGAAAGAGTTCTGCAGAGTGTCCAAATGTCCACAGAATAATGCATGTAGAAAAGATTTCATTTCCATTCTGCTGAAGCACTTTTTAACATTAGAAAGTTTGTGTAGTTGTCTGCCTCCAAACTTCACTTCCACAGCAGCATCTTGGCCAGAAAAGCTTTCATTCATTCAGTAGCATCCATAATGGTGACCTCATGACCTTGAATCAAAAAATTTACCTCATTCATTTGGCCAGTGATCTGCGCCCAGTAGGCCAAGGCATGAATTAAGTCCTCACTGTTAGATTGGTTTGTGAATGGGCTTTCTTTTTCCCTCAAAAAAAAAAAAAAGTGAAACTTCACCTCTCGGTTCAGCCAGTTGCCTCAAGATTTATCATCCAAAAAGCCAATGAACACCTGTGTGGCTGTGCCATGTGTCCTCAAGGATACATGGCACAGTGGATAAAGGCATTAATTAGATCCAGTGACAGGGCCCAAAGATTGTGAGTTTAATACCTGGTTAAGGCAGTGGAGAACTTGGAGAGGTGAATTAACAGGAGATAACTGATAACTGACATCCATTAGACATGGCATATGGAACTAGAACAGTCTACCCCAGCAAGTGAAATAAAGGGTTCAGTTCAAGATTCCAACCACCTGAAGAAAGTCGGAGCATACAACAGCCAAAATGTTGTGATAAATATGGCAACAAAAATGAGGACAATAGTCTGAATAATGTAAATAGTGAACCCCTTCCTATTCAGCTCCCATTTCTTGATGAAACCCCTTAAATTGCAATGATTCAAAGCTCTTTTTTCTTCACTGAAGTAGCAAAACCAGATGTGTTGCCAAGCATTGCAGGCTGTGAACAGACTATGAAGATTTTTCTTCCAGTCAAAATTATGATTGCCAAAGAATCTATCCATAATTTTTAAGATGTTGATGGCCTTTGCAATTTCCAAAAAAGGTTTGCAAAACAGAAATTCTTCTTTGATAGTATTAGCATGCACACAGCAAACAAAAACCAATAGTTGGCTGCACTGAGAGACTTTTTTTGTAGCAATAGGAGTCAGCTGTAGTCTTGTTAGATTGAAAACAGCAGGACTTTACTTTTGACTGATGGTTATTAGTGGAGTCAACTTCAAAGTACAGAGCAAGAGTCTCAGGCAGAGAGAAAGTCACGGACAGAAGATAAATTACTTTTTTAGACAAAGATGACAAGACATAGAAAATTGTTATCTATAAAACTGACCATCCTGTGCAAAAGGTACACAGAAGGAATGGAGCAAGCCTCACAGAATGGACAGAGAAGACGGCTGCTGAACTGTGCATTTCACCCTTCACCTACACCTCTCAACTCTACTTCATTGCTTTCTTATAGTAGTAATAAAATCTGGTTTCCTGCTAGAAATTGGTTTTTGTCTGTCTTGGACTGTTTTCTTGCCTTCCTCAAGTATATTTTGCAAAAAGAAAGAATTGCAAGTTCAGCATGGATCCTTGTTATTCACATGCAAGAAATGTTCTGATGTGGATGTCAACAAAAAATTAAAAAAAAGAAAAATACTAGGAGTTCTGTTAAGAATTCTCTGATTGTCATTTTAACAAGATGCTCAGCGAAACCTTAATTTATAACAAAAATTTTAACTGAAATTTTTAGCTAAAACTTTTTTGGGATTGAAAACACTTAATCAAGATTGAGTAGGTCTTTTTTGATTATGTAACTTCAGTTTGTGTACATAAAAAATAGCAAGTTTTTTTTATTAAAATGTTCCCACATTGTAAGCTTCTATTACAAAAGACTCTCTACTCAGATAAGGTTAGTATTATAGGTCGGTAAGCATGCAATTTGGTTTAACTCGTGGCCAATTGTAAACATTGCAAGTCTAGTAGACTGCTTTAAAAACTCGTGTTTGTTACTAGTTTGTTCATTTTTTTGTTGCAGCTGTCAGTTGAGCAAAATTTACAAATTTTTAAAACCCTCTGTTTGACTTTGCAGTTTTTTTTTAACTGTTTTTTCCTCTACTTTGTAATAATGAACCAATCCTGTTCTCATTTCAAATTGTAAAACCTATTCAGCTTTAATCTTATCCTGACACACCAGCTAAAGCCACAAGGTTTTATAAAGTTAATGAGATTATCAAACTTCAGCATTACTAAAGAAAAGTCTTGTATTTACTTGACCTCATCTAATATATGAGGTCTGATCAAAAAGTATCAGGACTGTTGCTATCGTAATGGAACTAAAGTACGCAGAGTGAAGCCATTTGGTACAGATTGACCTTTGTTGTGCACAGTAAGTTATAACATTTTCACTCGTATCCATTGTTTATGGCAGTGCTTGCAAGGAAAGTGTGTAAAGTGTGGTTGTCTCACCACACCACAGAGATTTCATTATTTACCATGGATTGTGCAGCAGTTTTGAACCAAGCCTGACAATCACCACATTCCCCAGGTCTCATACCTTGCAATTTTTTCCTTTTCAAAAATCAAATCTCACTTGAAAGAAACAAAATTTCAAGATGTTGGGGAAATACAAGAGGGTCAAATTTTTCACACATTATGTTCTCATTATATGTCCCAGAAATCTCAACAGTCTCTTTCTAAGTATGCTACATTCATGGTATTCTTAGCATCCTTCTGTAGAACTACATTTTTATTGCTTCTGATCTCCTCTTCATTCGCAAGGACAGTATCCAGTATTCACTCTCATATAGGAGGACCAATATTGCATAACAATTCTGTATCATTGGATTTCTCAGTTGCAATTTTTTTCCTCTGTTAAAAATGCTTCCCAGGTATTTTTAATTTTTGTACTTGCTTGATTTTGGTATCTCCAATTTATAAGTTACATGTTGGGCTGTCTCTTTTGCTGACACTCATACATTCTGTCTTCTTGCAATTGATGTTTAGTTCTTTCTTCTCGCTTATCTGCATATCTTACATTGTTAAGATTGTACCGGCAATAAGGAATCCTGATAGGGCTTCTAATTCTCTCAGAATTACTTCACTGTATAGGTTGAATAAATATGGTGAGAAGACATCCTTGTCTTAAATCTCTTTCTATTTTTGTGTATTTATTGAATTTATTTTCTACCTGTATACAGGTGGTTTGCACCCAGCATAAGTACTGGATTATTTTAATATCCTTCCCACATATGTCAATGCTTACCTTGAGAAAATGTAAGATTACTTACAAAATTATTTAAAAACTATGAGAAAATTTTGTTGCTACAGTTTTGAGATTTCATTTGAATTTTTTTTCTTCTTCTCTTGCAGGAGAAGACGACGTTTATGTTTACAAGATCTCGTAAGTATACACCCATTTTTAAATTTTTTTTTTTTTTCTGGAATTTTTTTTTTTTCTGGAATTTTTTTTTTTTCTGGAATTTTTTTTTTTTCTGGAATTTTTTTTTTTTCTGGAATTTTTTTTTTTCTGGATATGTGGATGATTTAAGTACAGAATGTGAAATGTGTTTTAATGGTGTGGATTTATCTTAATCCACTAAGCTTATCCTCTTCATTTTATGGGAAGCCACAAAGTCAAATGATCTTTTTGCTACCAGTGTACTGATTGGGATTCATTTTGTGACTTTCTTCAAGGCACTTTTTGGATTGATATTTTTAAACTTCATATTGAGAATTGTGCGACTGAAGTTTCTTCTTGGATTAAAGCTGGCATTAGTATTTTTGTACCTTCTCATAAATACCAGGCAAAGGCACTATCTTCTTGATTCATACCTGCCTGTTCAGCCACCAGAGCCCACAGGAATTGCGTTTTTAGGCTCTACCAGCTTGATAGTTTCACTTACAGCATACACTTCTTTGTGTCTGTTCATAATAATTATAAATTGTGTCGTCAAGGACAATGAGGCACTGTATATCTTCTAACAAGTTTAGTTCTCATGACTACTGGCAGCTTTCTAATAGTATGTTAAATAAGAGTAAGTCTTCTATCCTATCTCTCTTCAAATTGAACTCTTGACACATTTGTAGTATCTTTGCCTGACTTTCCACTTAAAACTGAATCTCTGTTGTGTGATATGCATATAACTCTGTCCATGGTTTCTACTATCATCTCTAAACAAAGCCTGTGGACTTGATGGTATCCCTGCAATAGTTCTTAAGAAATGTGCTCCAGAACTGGCTCTTGTTCTCTCTAAACTCTACAATAAATCCCTTTCTTCTTCTTCTTGCTTTTCTGCTTGTTGGAAATCCTCTTCTGTAATTCCAGTCTTTAAGAAGTTTAACAGTCTGATCCTTCCAACTAGCAGCCTGTTAGCCTTCTACATCTTTATGTCAAAAATACCAGAAGTTCTAATCAACTCTGAATTGATTCATTGTCTCACATTGCTGGGTCTTCTTTCAAACAAGGAATATGGCTTTCACTTCTCTAGGTCAATTGCTATTGTATTAATGATTATTGCTGAAAGTCTATCAAGCTTTAGATAATAATGGTGAAGCTCGGGCTGTTACCTTAAATATCTCAAATATTTGGCATCCTGATCTTCTTCACAAGTTGAAAGGTATTTTATAGCAAAGAAAACAGCGACTTACCTCGTCAAACCAAGCAACAGCGCATTGCGTGTATTCTACGACGGAAAATGTGGCGAAAAAGAAAATTACTTACCACCAAACAAAAGGGCATGTATTCTGCATGACATGCTGAAAATGGAATATTTGAATTAAAAAAACAATCCGTCACAGGAGTCGCTATAAAAGTATTTTGATATGCAAATTACTGAACATCCTCTCCCAGCTGTTGATGAATGAAGGAAAAAAAAAAAAAAAGGTTCTGCCGATAAAAGCAGTTGGTGTTCTCAAATCGAGAGCAGAAAATTCGGGCATTTTGGCTACGGTGTTTGTTAGAGAGTGAGTTATTTTTCTGACTGGTTACACGCATTGTAATTTGATTGTACCGGCGAATCGAGTTTTCAGCATTTCTTTCTGCACCCGATATTCGAGTCTGTACTTACAGTGATTTTTCTTTGTGTTGTGGAAGTAATCTGCGACAAATACTTCCTTTGCTTTCAGAACGCCTACATATTTCTAAACAAATTTTTGAACTGATTCAAATTTACCAAATCGCGAAATGAAAGTTGTCTTGAATGACAACTCTTCTAGATCTTTCTTGATTAATGCAAGTGTCTCCCAGGGCTCTATCCTTGGACCTATGTTGTTCTAATTTTTATCAATGACCTTTCTGATGTCATCAGTTCTCAATTCAATATCTATGCTGATATCTAACAACTATTTACTTCTGTCTTAATAGTAAGTCTGATCTGTTTGATAAGGCCAAATTGGCAGGTGATCTCACAAATGACCTACAATCTGTTGTTAACTAGAGCAAGAAATGACTTATTAATTTTAATGCCTCCAAAACAAATCTGCTCTCTTTTAATCATTTTGAGAACCTTTTTTTGTCTTACATTAGCGTTGCTCATCCTAACCTTCAAAACTCATTGCACCGTCTCAGGTTAATGTTTTCTGCTGACATGAATTGGAAAGTTTATATTGAATCCATTGCTAGGTCTGCTGTTAGGAAAGTTGTTACACTGTGTCATGCCAGACAATTTTTTTTTTTTTTTTACCTGAATCTATCTTACATACAAGTCCATCTTACATACAAGTCTACCATTCATCCTTGCTTTGAATATTACTGCCATATCTGGTCTGGAGCTGCTGCTATGCCTTTAGAGATTCTAGATAAAATCCAAAGAAACTGCAATATTCTTGGTCCTGACCTGGCATCAGTCACTTTCCCACTGTTATAATGTAGCTCCCCTGTCCAATTTATTTAAATATTTTCATGATAATCATTCTGATGTGCTTTCATCTTTGGTAACTAGACTTTATGAATCACAGTAAGCACAGTACTTGATTGGCAGCTAGGTCTCATTATTTTACAGTGGCTAGATATAAACATAAATTTATTTTCTCTTACACTTTATACTTGTGGAACTCTCTTCCAGCTTCTTGTTTTCTGGTCAACTTAAAAAATTTCAACGCAATGTCAATTGTTATCTTCTGTTTTAATTCCTGTACTTTTATTGTTCTCTCTCCTTAATAATGTTTTCTTTTTCTCAGATTCTCTTATACTCGGTATCCCCTTGCATCTTAGTGGCTTTATTGCCTTGCTTGGGGTGAAATGATTACAAAATAAAAAAAATAAAAAAATTGGTAAAAACGAAAAAAAATGTTAAAAAAAAAAATGATTAGGATTGGTGATAAGCCCAGGTGAGAAGAAAGGAAACAGGACGACTAGTAAGAAGTCTTTTGTCCATGTCATACAGATATTGGGGTCTAAAGAAATTCTGGTTAAGAAGTGGCTTTTTATTTGAAAAAAATGTTAAATTTTTTTTATGTAGTTGGTTTTGTTTGGAAAATTTTCATTTTTGATAAAAATTAATTTTTAATTTTGGCTTTACTCCATGCTACTTAATCTCATCTAAAATCACTAATTTGTTCCAAATTCTCTGTCATATGATGACCAAAAAACCTATCAAGATGGCAAGTGGGAGTGGGTTGAATGTACTAAAAATCTGGTGGCGGATTATGCAAGCTAAAAGATTTATAAATTAAACTTCTTTTTTCTCCTGAAAAAATTGACTTTAATCTTTTTATGAAAAATAATGGCTTTAGAAATGAATTTCTAGGATTGATTCTGTTCTGAAGTATTTAATTCCTATAAATACTTCTTCCAAAACTTGGGAAGCTTTTTGAAAGATTATTTTAGACAGATCAGTTTCTTTCCTCAAATTTAATCTGAGGTTCTTATTACGGAAAATGTGATACTGAAATCTGAAGCTGCATTGGAATAGTGAAAGATGCCTTCTAAAAGCTAAATGAAGTATTAAGAAACAGGAAAATTACATTACAAATAAAGAAAAGAATGTTTAATTGTTACATAATATCAGTCCTCCAATATGGTAAGGGATGCTGGCCAATTTCCTCACTGATGAAGAAGAGACTTGAGGCAACAGATGTTTTTCTATTGAAATATGCTGAGAATATCATTGACAAAGCATGTGAGTAATGAGTAAGTTCTAAAGAAAATGAGAGCAAAAAGTACACTTTTACTTAGAATCAGAAAGAATTGAACTAGGAAAAAAAGCTTGGAGAATTTGATACTCAACATATTGAAAGCAAGAGTGACAGGGAAATGGTAAGTTACTTATTAAAGGAAACTTATGGAATTGGATAGCAGAACAGGGAATGGGAGTTTAAAAAGACAAACATTGCTAAGAGCTACAAAGGTTAGGAAATTGTGGAGAGCCATAATCACTAATTTCATGAAGATAGCTCATAAAAGTAGAATAATTTTATAATCTAAATTGAAATGCCTTGAACAATAACTATTCTTTTTGATTTGTCTTTAAGAAGACTGAAAAGCTTTGCATTTATTAGATTAAAAATGTCTAAGTTTTTACACCTGAAGATATATAGGTCTTCCCTTTTTCTCTACCACATCTCTCTTTTTCACTTGTACATATTTTAGCAAATAATGTTAAATCATATCTTTTGCATAACATTCTCTCTTGTAAGCTGTTTTACACTTGGCATTATGCCTTTCACTTTCCTTCATGTACATCTCACAAAGTTAATTTCTCTGTCTCTATTTCTTTCTCTGCTGGCTTTCTGCCAATATGAGTATTAGAAGACTTCATTTTACTGCCTATCCATTTTGGAAAATCTTGGGTTCCAAAGAGAACAAGGCTGATTCTACCAATTTCTACATTGTGCTGCATAACCCAAAAAACTACAACTGCATGTTTTGTTGGGGGGTATAAAAAAATAAGAAAACAATTCTCGTAATGACATTGGCTGATTTAAAAGAATTTCTCCAGTTGAAAGGAAAAGTGAAATATTGATTTACCATTTTTTTACACTCCCTGCAACTTTGAACCATGAAATTTTGTTAATCAGTTTTCTTGACTGTTAAGTTGTTGAGTGGCTCAGGTGTGTATTTGTGACACAGCACAAGTATTGAACTGATAGCCTTCAGCTAATGTAAAATTGTGCTTTAATAAGTTGACCTGTTCCACCTGCAGTTGAAAGTGGTTCTACCCATTGAGCTCTATATAGACATATGGTTTTTTTCACTTTTTGCCTGGCGAAATTATATCAGATCACTATTGAGTTCTTGTAAAGTTGCGTGATTTTCCTTATAGTCTACAAAAGAATCTTGGTTCAAAGAAATGGTTTAACATATCCCTTGCAGTGGGCACACACACACACACACACACACACACACAAATTTTATATAGTTTTCTGTGCTGCAAAAGCTGTGGAGATTGCCTTTACCCTGAAGGGACATAACACATAAAAGACAGGAAATATTGAAGGCAAGAGTAGCAAAAAGAATCATTGAGTAACCTAGGTAACAAGCTTGTTTAAATGGATGGCAGAACAGGGAGAGATAGGTAATATTGCTAAGATCTACAAAAGATAGGAAGCTGACCACCCTCCTTCTGAAGTGACACAGCCCATCAAAGAAGAAAGGACATAAATGGATGGCATAAGGGGAAAATATTGTTTAGAGCTACAAACAATAGGAAGTTGTGGAGAGTCATGATTGCTAATGTCCTTTTTTTCTTTTTTTACCTAAAAGTCACTTGAGGTAGAGGGGTTATTAAATGAGGGGTTGTATGGATCTACAAGGAGGGGAACAAGAGGTACATGTTATGAGGATATGTAGGATAGATAATGGTTGACCCTATACTTAAGGAAGTTAAGATTGTAGTGATTGGCGTAATGTTACCTATATTTTGCTGTATATATAGTCACAATTTGCATTACTAAGCTCTTAGTAATTCTATTTTCATAGAAAAACTTTACAAAATGTAAAAAAAAATCAGAAAACTGGAATATATTGTCTTTGAACTAGAAAATTTTCACCAGAGTACTAGAGGCTCTAATCAACTTTGAATTCATTAAGCATCTCACCTTGCAGGGTCTTCTTTCCAATAAGCAGTATGACTTTCACTTCTCTGGATCAATTGCTGATGTATTAACTGTTATTGCCGAAAGGGTCTGTCAAATTTTAGATAAGAATGGTGACGCTTTGCTTGTTGCTATGGATTTCTCAAAGGTATTTCACAGGATTTGGTATGCTGGTCTTAACGAGTTGAAAGGTTATGGTATTTCTGGATTAATTTTTGAACTGATTCAGTCTTATATCAAATCATGAAATGAATTGAACAGACACTCTTCTAGATCTTTTTGCATTAATGTTGTTGTCTCCCAGGGCTGTATCCTCAGATCTATATTGTTCTTAATTTTCATAAATGACCTTCCTGATGTCTTCAGTTCTCCACTATACTGATGACACACCTATTTACTACTGTCTTAATGGTATGTCTGATCAGTTCAATAAAGTCAAATTGGCAGCTGATCTTAAAAATGATCCACAGTCTTCTGTTATCTGGGGCAAGAAATGGCTTATTAATTTTAATGCCCCAAAATGCATTTACACATAAGTCTATCATTCATTCTTGCATTGAATATTGCTGGCATATCTGGTCTGGTGTGTTTCTGTTATATATTTAGAGATTCTTGATAAATCCAAAAAAGAATCTGCAATGTTATTGGTCCTGACCTGGCATCTCAGTCTCATTCACATTCCTGCTACTGTAATGTATCTTCCTTGTGCTTTTTCTATAAATATTTTGATGGTAATTGTTCTGATGAGCTTTCTTCTTTGCTGCCTCAACTTTATGAATTTAAGTGCAGTACTAGACTGGCAACTAGGTCTCATTAACTTTACAGTTGAAATTGCTAGATGTAACCGTAAGTTCTATGATAATAGTTTCTCTCACACTTATTGCTTGTGGAACTCATTTCCGTCTTCTTACATTCCAGTTAACTTTGATCTTCAAAAATTTAAATGCAATGTCAATTGTCATCTGCCCTTAATAATGTTTTTTTTAAATCACTTCCCCCCCCAAGTAAGGTAATAAAGCCATTATGACGCAAGGGGTTACTGCATGTTAGAAAATATGAGAAAAAGAAGTAATGAAGACTAGTTTCTCTTCCTTTTTGACTTTTCATGTAGATATGTTATGTCAATATTTAAAAATGTAAATATTTAAATTTTTGTCTCAATAAATTATTATTATACACTGACATTTTCCTCACTGGATCAAACAGTGTAAAAAAAAAAAAAAAAAAAAAGAAAAATTAATTTACTCTGGTTCAGTGGGAGACAAATAATATCAAAAGGATGAATGAACTGATAGATATCCTCAAGCATGGATAGTGGAATGAGAATAATTTACCCTTCTGGAATTAATAAAGGGTTTGGCTTGAAATTCCTGGAAAGCTACCAACCATGACAGACACCCGAAGAAGTCTGCAGGGTACAATGGTCAAAATGTTGTAATGGTAACACCCAAGATGAGGACAGGCATCAGAACAAATCTATGTATAATCATTATCTTCATTCCACCCTCACAATTATTGTCGTATTTTTTACATTGTGTAATTGCTAAATTAAAAAGCACACAATGCTATTTCAGTGTATTTTTTTAATTGTTATATTTCTTTTCTTTTTCTTCACCGTAAACCGAGTTGTCTTGATTTTTTTTTTTTTTTTCTAATTTCTCTTTTGCACTTAAATTTCCTTTATTCTTGCATGTTGAAATAGTTTTTAAATAGTGTGTGTGTGTGTGTGTGTTAGTGTTAAAAGGCAAAAAAAATCTTAGTTGTCATTTTGTTGTTTAGTTTTTTAAGCTGTTTCCATGTGCAAAGATGTAGAGTAATCTTCATGTTGAAAAATGGGGGTCAAATTCTTCAGTTGCAATAGCCTTGGTCTGCCTCTCTCTCTGTCTCTCCCCACCCCTCTCATCTTCCCTCCAACTTCTCAGCCTTTCTCTCTCTCTCTGTCTCTCCCTCTGCTTTTCTCTCTCTGTCTCTCCCTCTGCTTTTTCTTTGTCTCTCCCTCTGCTTTTCTCTCTGTCTCTCCCTCTGCTTTTCTCTCTCTGTCTCTCCCTCTGCTTTTCTCTCTCTGTCTCTCCCTCTGCTTTTCTCTCTCTGTCTCTCCCTCTGCTTTTCTCTCTCTGTCTCTCCCTCTGCTTTTCTCTCTCTGTCTCTCCCTCTGCTTTTTTCTCTCTGTCTCTCCCTCTGCTTTTTCTCTCTCTGTTCTCCCTCTGCTTTTCTCTCTCTGTCTCTCCCTCTGCCTCTCTCTGTCTCTCCCCTCTGCTTTTCTCTCTCTCTCAACTCTCCTCTCTCTGTCTCTCCTCTCTTCTCTCTTCTCTCCTCTGCTTTTTCTCTCTCTCCCTCTGCTTTTCTCTCTCTCTCAACCTCCCTCTCTCTCAACCTCCCTCTCTCTCAACCTCCCTCTCTCTCAACCTCCCTCTCTCTCAACCTCCCTCTCTCTCAACCTCCCTCTCTCTCAACCTCCCTCTCTCTCAACCTCCCTTTCTCTCTCTCTCAACCTCCCTTTCTCTCTCTCTCAACCTCCCTTTCTCTCTCTGGTTCCATTTAAAGGAAATCTATTTAGAAAGTACTCTTTAGTTTACAAACCATGCTAGCTGAAGTGTTTGTTCCACTGAGGCTGACACTGTAGTAAAAAACAGGAATCATGTGACAAAAGTTGCATAGTGCCCTACTTTATTGATTGTAAGGTGGGGGGTCAAGATGGGCTTTAGAGCTGCATGTCGTTTTTGTCTCCCACCACCCAGTGCCTCATAAATTCTCCTCCTTTTGACCCATTGTTTCTAACAAACATCACAGCCTCACATTCTTTTTCTTATGCTGGTTTAAAAGAAAGCTATATGGATTGTGTAATATTTTATATATCACGTGTGTGCGTGTGAGAGAGAGAGAGAGACCTAACAGTGATTGGTGTGGAAAGTGAAATTAGCAAACCAAATTATCTCATTTATTGTGCTCATTTTCACACTAATAACTAACGACACTGACATCACTCACCAGCAATCACGTAACCCTCTGGAACTCATTTTTCCTCAAAGGGAGATAATCTCAATTTGTATCCTTACACTATAAACATTACTTTTAGCAGCAACATGTGTTTCAGTTGTTATCCCTATGTTTTTTTTTTTAATTTTCTTAAACAGTGAAATTAATAACAACAAGCCTAGATTGAGAAGTCCTATTAACCTTTACCATGCTAATTCCTTTCTAGAACTGTTCCCCCTGCTACTGCATTTTTTGAGGATGTAAAAACATGAACACCTACTGTTTTAAAATTGTTATAACTTTCCTTGTATTGTGCATATAGGTTTTAATTTTTGTACACTAATAAAAGAATGAATGAGTAATATTTTGATGTAATGCATTATGTTTTGCATGCAGGTTTTGACATTGAAAACAAAAATTGAAATGCGAAATAAAAAACAAATACATTAAAAAATACATAATAATTCAACATACTTTAACTTTTCTTACCCCTTGTTGAGTTCTGGGGGTGCAATAAGAAGCAAAATGACTAAAAAGGCTTTCATTTTGTCAAAAAAAAATGACTTGTTTCCTTGTGTTTACATACAAGAAGACATTAGCATTTATTTGCTCTTTCTTTCTCTCGACTCGTATTTGTCTCGTTGATGAATAGTTATTTTGTCATTTATAAATAGATAAAATAGTTCACTTTCAGAAAAGCTATCAGATATATTGATGGTTGCCAGTAGCTTCCCTAAAATTATTGAGGCATAGATGATAGTAGTTGCTAGTGGCCATCATCGTTTTCCTCCATGTCACTAGCATGGTTATCCGCTTCAATCACTTCACCGTCAATATCCACTTGAGTAAAGCCTTCAAAACCATCATCAGTGTTAATCAAAGAAAAACTCCTGAATAAAGGATTTGTTGGATATTAACACTGCCTTTTTTGTTTGTGAAAAAATTAACGTGGGTTTAATTGATGTTACACCTCATGTAGTCTAGAAGAATTCAAAATGGCATTAGAAAAACAGAAGTTTAGCCTTGTTCCAAAGCATTAGTAGGCAATTTCCAGTTTAAAATACTGGAAATAACAGTTGACAAGTGTTTATTTATAGCAACTATCTCAGGTGACAGAAGTCACCGATAGTAGTAAGGGGGAGAATTCTATGGGGACTATTGTCGCCTGCAGTGTGGTAAAGGTTAAAGAAAAATTGTGCTCCCAATAGGGATTGAACCTTGGAAAAAAAGATACAGCTTCAATCACTCTCAGGAGGCACACTTTTTGTTGCGAGGGAGAATATTTCCCTATGAGTTTGTACTTGGTTGTCAGATGAAAGACATAAAAATACTCCTACATCAAGAGGAATAGCAGCAGCAGTAACCTCTGTTGAAAACAGTTATTTATGGCTAAATATTCTCTTCCCTAGTTTCTATTCTACATTATGTTTCCCTGTGCCAGAAGGTTAATAAACTTGTTAAAATAATCCCAGTGTTCTACTGTTGTTTTTGATAACTCAGTTACAACACTTTTCTTTAATAAGACTTCTCGATCTAGGCTGGTTGTTATTAATTTCATTGTTTAAGAAAATTTAAAAAAACAAAAAAAAAACAGTGATACCAACTCAAATATGTGTACCCACTAAAAATAATGAGGTTGAGTAAATAGATGACTGGGCAGGGTTTAGGGGAGATAAGAAAAAGACAAAATTTAGGACAGGAAATCGTGGAGGGTTATGATCCCTGACGTCCTGAAGGGACAAGGTTCATAGAATAATGCCAGATTGAAATATCTATTCAAAAATTACTATTTTGTGTTCATTACTATTATTATTAATAATACATTATTATAGATACCTACCAATCTGACATCATTTACCACTGATCATGTGACACTAGTGAATTTATTAATTAATAACCAATCTAGATCAAGAAGTTCTACTAAAACAGTGGTACCTCCCTCCTTAACTTAATCTAGGTTGGGTGTTATTAATTTCAGTGTTTAAAAAAAATAAAAACAAATCGGGGTTGCAACTGAAACATGTGTACTTACTAAAATAATGTCTGTATTCCAAAGAAATAATGTTAGATTAAAAATTTTAAAAATCATTCAATCATCCTGGGTATGATGATAACTACATCTGCATCCAGGGTAAGATGATAAACTACGTCCAGCAGCAAGGCCTCTGATCAGAAGGTTTTGAGGAGTGTGGAACCACCTCTTAATTGCTAGTGTTCTCAGCTCCACCTTGACCCCGGGGTGGTAGCACCTGTTAAGGTCCCGGCTATGGGCAAATAGTTAACCCGTAAACTGAGGTAAAAAGTATTATGAAAGTGTAAAAATAGGTTTTAATAACAGAAAAACTTTGTAAAAAAAATTATTACCAGAAATAAATTTTTGAAGAAAAAAAAAATATTAACTGCAATATACTTTTGAAAAAAGAAGAAAAAAAAACATTACCAGCAATAAATTTTTAAAAATAATATTACTAGCTATACAATACATTTTTGAGAAAAAAAAAATACCAGAAATACATTTTTGACAAAATATTACCAGAAAAAAAAAAAGTTGAGAGCATTAAATAACCCATTCAGGTTGATATGCTATAAAATAAAACAAACCCTTAAATCATTCAAAATATGTCTCTGTTAAGTAGATTAAAAGAAAATGGCTTAATTTTTCAAGAAGTTGCCCAAATTCTCTTTGTATATTCTATGACTTGGTGTCTAGAGTGAGCAAAATGAATTTGTTGTTCATGGAATTAACAAATAATGTATGTATGTATAAACATGTTCATGAAAGTTTAGACACTTTCAGATTGCTATAGAATTACATTTAAACAATGTTGACCTTTTTGTTAACACTGAAAGGAAATATTGATGTTTCTCTAAGCCTTACTCACTACCACCACCAATTCGAAACCTCATTTTTTTTAGAGGAATGTATTTGACAGCCACTTCAGCTATCCTGAGGTAAACTGACAATTTGCAGTTTCTACAAAGTGACCTGATACAAGACTAGAAATCTAATAATGATTGGAGAATTGACAGGTTGATACCTGATGATACCTGAGAATACATGATCTTGTGGGGCTGTTGGGAGTGACGGTGACTACATTTTAAATCTTCAGAGTAAGAGTAAAATTCTCTCTTATTTCAGCTCACAATTCTATATATGTTGGTTAGGGCATACTTTTTTTTTTTTTTTTTTTTAAGATATTTAGTTGCAATTTTTTTTTAAGGAATTTATAATAATAATTGTAACTTTAAATAGATGTCATGGAACTGCAATGTCTAATTGAATACGATAAAACAAATTTTCAATTACGAATGCCTAATTTCTGTTGGTAGCTTCTTTCCATCATTTGTTGCAGCCAGTAGTCTCCTTCGGTGTTGTTAGTTTCTCTCCACCATATACATCCGCATCCTGGGTAAGACTATAAACTACGTCCAACAGCAAGGCCTCTGATCAAGAGGTTTTGAGGAACATGGAACCACCTCTTAATTGCTGGTGTTCCCAGATCCACCCTAACCTGGAGTGGTAGCACCTGTTAGGGTCCCAACTATAGGCAGATATTTAGCCCCCAAACTGGGATCAAAACACTATGTAAGTGTAAAAATAGGTTTTAATACCAGAGATACTTTGTAAAAAAATTTATTACCAACAATACATTTTTAGGGGGAAAAAAAAAAAAAAAATATTCCCAGAAATAAAAATTTTGTCGACAATAACTAATCCATTGAGGTTGATATGCTGTAAAACAAAGCAAACTGAACAAGAAATACATTCTTGAAAAAAATAAAAAATAAAAAAAATATTACCAGAAATACATTTTTGGAAAAAAATATTACCAGCAATAAAAATTTTGTCGGCAATAAATAATCCATTGAGGTTGATATACCGTAAAACAAACCAAATCCTCCATGATATTTAGTTTCTTGGTAGTTCCCACCCCCCACCATTGTTAGTGTTTTTTTTTTTTTTTTTTTTTGTAACATGTTAGTTACTGTTTGTATTTCTGTGTATGTCTTTATGTCAAGTAGTTTCTTTTTCTTTCTTTCTTTTTTACTACCTGTTGTCTGTTTTTAAACAGCTCAGTTGTCTACCTGTACCAAGCTGTTCCCAAATTTATCCAGTAGAGTACTACTACTACTAGTAGTAAGTGAATAGGCTATGTCAGGGATACTTGATTAAATGACATCTTTGATTGCTTTCTTCTCTAAAGCACACTTTTTCTTGCACTTGTACTATTTTCTTTTATATACCAAGTGGTTCTTGACTTACCCAGAGAAGAATGCATCTTAAGGTGATACAGTCAAAGACTGCTAGATTTTTCTTATGAGTTTTGGAAAGCTGTCTCAATACAAGCGTTTTTTTTTGTTTTTTTTTTCTGTTTTAAGAATAATACTAAGAATACTAAGAAGAATACCAAGAATACTAATAAGTGGGGAAAAAAAACTGTATTATGACACTTTGTCATTCAATTACCCAACACTGTTCTGATATCAAAAAAAAAAAAAAATTTCTTCTAATGAAATAATTATAGCACAAACAAAACTGGGTATGTAGTTCATTTGGTAAAAATGTTGACTTTGCCAGGGACT